ACTAGAGGCTGTTAGTTTAAGTACATAGCAGAGTTGTCTTTTTCATTGTGTTAGTTTGCATTTATGAACGTGGAATTTCAGCTGCTGATTCTTACCATCCATTTGCTTAGTATGAGAACAGCCTTCCACAGTTCTTGTCATTCAGTCTGGGTGTTTATTTTTTTGAGTAACTCTGTCCAGTACACTAGCTTCCTCACTTACCTGCTCATCGCCTTTTTAAATTTACTGAACAACAGAGATGCCTGCACAGACCTCTTTGGGACTCTGATTTTCATCTCTTTGGAACTTTCATGTGATATGCTTTCATACCCTCACCTCACCCTTCTTTAACTTATTCCTACACTTTGGCCTTCCCCATCTATAAAATGGGAAAGGCCAAAGTCATTAATAAATCCCCTGATATCTTAGTTTAAGAGCTTTTTGATAATCCAGTTACGCTGTCTTGCCCAGGTATGTTTGTTCATTCCTTCTTCCAGAGCACTGTGGCAGACTTGTTAGGGTTCCTTCCTTCCTTCCTTCCACAGAAGGTATGCTGGCACTTCACTGGTCCTGTTTGTTTGCAATTACAAAGTCTGTTCTGTGATGCTTCCGTTTTACTCCACAGAAACCTAGAATTTGCAGGAGAACCATTCCTTTAATTCCCTGGCAATCTTTAGAGGAATTAGCAACATTTACCACCTTCCATTCCATGCCAGACTGAATTTATGGGTGGCATGCTACTGGAACTTTTGAGTTGCATCATTTCTGAGATCTGGAATACTGGTTCTGGCTCTGCCCAGTAAATATTATGAACTTTAGGAACCAGTAAGGTTGTGGTTTGTTGTTTTTCTGTTGTTTGTTTGGTGTTTTCTTTTTTTCTTTCAAAAAGTCATCTGCTTGCGGAGACAGCCAAGCTCTAAAGTTTAGCTAAGGTTGATCTTGGGAAAAGTAACTACAGCAGACTTCCTGAGGTTTTCCTCTTGGGTGTCTCTGACATGGGGAGGTTTTGTAGTGGCATGTTCTGCTGTAGCTACAAGTAGTAAGCGGTTTGTGAATACAAACAGAGGAATACAATTTTGAAGATTAACAAAGAGCGCTGTTGTTTGGTAATGGGGAAAATGCTAATGTGAAGAGTCATAGGGTTAATTCAAAATGGGGTAGGAGTTTGGGAGCTGCATGAAATGTTTCCATGTGTTTGAATTTTTTCAGTGATTGCATTAACAGAATTTCAGTCGTCTGTGTATGTAGAGGGTACTGTTGAATCTTGAGGTAGTATATCGGGTTATATTCCTTGTAACCTGAGTGTTTGAGGCAAAGCCCATGACAGAACAGTCATCAAACATTGAATTTTATCACGTGTGAGGGTATGTTCTTGTGTAGTTACATATGTTGAGAAGATCAAACAAAAAAAAAAAAGAGTTTTAAGAAAATAAGTGTTTGTTTGTTTAAGTAAAATGGAGTGGAGAAATGTAGTTGGGATTTTTGGAGTGTGATAAGTCTGCTTCATTCTGAGCATAATACCCACAGGCTAGGTGGCTTGAATTGCCTTTTCACATTACTTTGGACAATACTGAGAAGTTTAGCTGGAAATTTGACATTACTTAAGGTCTCCATAGAGTGTGGGTGGGGAGAGGGATTCCCCCATCCCCATTTTGCAATTAATAAAATAACAAGTTGCCACAATCTTGTAAATGTGGGAGGAAAGATCTGGGATCTGCTTTGATTCCAAGACCCACCATTAAAATTACAATATTAAATAAAGATCACTAAAACTGTAATAGATTTTTAGAGGAAGCAATTCTTTCAACTATACAGTTATCACTGGATATAATATGCATATTTTAGTGCTAATTGTAAACTGTGTTATTGAAACAGCTGTAAGGAGTGTCAAATAAGTGTCAAAGCTCTAGGGAGGAAATATGTGGTCTTTCATGGTGATTACGTGAATTAAAACAAGTATATGTCTTATGATGCTGTCAGGGATAGATTTGTAAACCTACAGTGTCATTACTGGAGTGTACCATAAATTTACATAGACCTGTGTGTCTTTGTTTTATCCGGATAAAAGCCCTCTGTGTGGCATCTGTGGATTACTAAACAAATGTAAAAGCTTTAATCAGATTCACAGCTCCTTTTGGAATACAATTTTTGTAGAAGGAATCACACTCCTCTGTAAGTAAACGTTAACTACGCCCCCCCAATTTTACAAGTTGAAACATACACGTCACAACTTGTAGCTGTATTTGAAATATACAGTGAAGGAATATTTATTTGACAATTTCTTGTTGATACTGACTTTTAAAACTTTTTTCCAAGACATTTTGATATTGGGGGCAGGTAGAAACCACCTCTCCAAAAATTGCCTTTCCCTGTCCTCTCTGCCTGGGAGCAGAAAAAGTTTTCTGGGTTACCAGATACGGCATTTCCCATTTGTGTCACGCCCTGTGTAGGTTAGAGATGACCAGATGGTGCAATATGATCACAGCACAGCGCTGTGACAAGCGATTCTCTTAGATTGTCTGAATGGGTTTTATGAACCCAGTTACAGCTACTCCTTTTCAGGTTTAAGCATGGTGTTAAGAAATGCTAAGTATGATGTGTTGTGTAAAGTTTATAATTCTTCTTCTTGCCTCTTGTGATCTTTGAGCTGTGACACAGTCTGAACTCGGGCTTACTTAAGAAGATTTCTGTCCTGAAGCTTGGTACATTCATTGTCAGTCCCTACCCTGTCGCCCAAAACACAAAACAGTTATTTTAAGAACAGCTCCTTTCAGGTCTCTGGGTTTGTGAAATATACTATTTTTGAAATTTATTCTAAATTTGTTCTTGAAAGAAAAGATGTGTTAGTGAATTATATAGGAGTTTGTGGAGCTATTACTGTAGATTTTTGTCAAAAAATTATGTAGGTGCCTTTTTAAGAATCAAGTTCTGGTATCTTATTACCATGACAGCTTATTTCTTTTTTTAAGTTCTTTGGGGTTTTTTTGTACTTTGCTTGTTCTGACAAGCACTGGAATGCCTTGGCTTGATTACTGCTTCCTTGGTATTAAGCAAAATCTCTGTGACTTTAGTGTAATTATTTTGGAGAGGTGTGTGTGTTTAGAGCTTTTTTTGTTTGGTTGGGTTATAGACTTCTATTTGCAGTGAGATGGCTCTACTGTTACGTCCATGCATTTGAAATTGGGTTCCAAAGGCTAATTTTTTGACAATCCACCTAGGTCTTCTCTACCCCAGGGATTTCTTGCTTGGGACAAGAAGTGACACTGCCAACTGGCAGAATGACATCTGGCAAGCACTGGGTCATTACAGGTTTTTGGGCAGGTTGTCGAACCTGTTGTTGAAGTAACTGCAGCAAAGCCTTCTGTGCAGAGAAAGGGTGCAGCAGGAAAATCATTACGTAGGTATGGCAGCTTTGGCTGTTCAGTGGTTTGTTCTCTTCTCTCCCACCTGTAGTCAGTCAGATTTTTGATGTTAGTATGATGTGCTGGGAAACAGTAAAATTTCATTCTTTTTTTTTCTTTTTTTTTTCTTTCTTCCTACTGAATGTTTTCGCAACCAGAATTTGGAGGGGAACCCAAAACCCAAAGGAAAAAAAGAAAGCCAAACACAAAACTTTCTTACTAATTCTGTTTGGTCAAAGCCTTTCTGTGTCAACTAGGATAGCCTAGGATGATCCCTAAAGTACTTTTAAATCTTATGTATTATTTTCTTCTGTAATTACGAAAATTCCTGCTTCAGTGTTACGTGTTTTCCTCCTCTTTGTGAATACATCCCTGGTATGTTATGGTGGTTAGAGAGCATTGTAGCATAGTAAGGGTGAAGAGTCCCTTCTGAATATAGTGTATCTAAATTAATTTTGCATACTTGCTGTCTTCATCAGGAATGCTGATCTTTAGCTCTTGCATATTTTGGTGAGGCTATTTTGAGCCGTGCTGCTCCAGAGGAACTGCCTAGACTGGAGAGGAAATGTATCTGATGGATCTTAATCACTAGATGGCTTTAGGAGTCACGGCTAAGGTCCTGAACTGGCAGTAGAAGCCACGTGGAACTGATAAGATGATCTGAGTGTGGGACTAAAGGCTTGTAGCATTCCCTTTTGCAGCTGACATGGCGATTGTCTCGTTCTGCACATCTGAATTTAATTCTACATACATTATGTAAAGATCATTCAAGTACAAAATGCTGACCACTCTCTGAAATGATTACTGCTTCAAAGCTGCTGCACTTGTTTCATGGCATTAAACAACTGAAGATACTTTTGGGTAGTGGTTTAACAGCTGAAGGAAGTTTTTGAGTTTGGCACTCACCAAGTCTTGAAATTGCTGAGGGTGGCTTTTTATTCTGATGTATTAAAGAGTGTGCAGTGTACTGCAAGTAATTTCAAGACAAGAGGCTCTAGAGCTTTTAAGAGTAATGTGAAAATAATGTAGTTGTAGTATCTGGACTTTATTGTCTTGCTTATGTGTTCTTGCCCTCTCTGTTTTCACTGGACATCCTTCTGAGCCTGAGTTTGTGCGTTCATTTTCTTTTGAATCCTCTTGTTGGTGTACCTAGAAACAGTCTGTCACTAGAGAGTAGTCTTGATAAAGCATCTACGCTAGATGAATCTGCATCTGGGTTGCAGCGCTAAAATTTAGAGAATCATTGCATTCCCACACCTGGACTAGGCCTGTTCCTACTTTCAGTCAAACATTGTTTGGGGTGATAGATGCTGTGTCAGAATAGTATTGTCAGTGTAGAGAGACCTGTAGGTTGGTAATACTGTACTTCGAGGAGAATTTGGGTGATAAGATCTCATAATGGATATTCAGCCTCTTAACGAATAAAAGCCAATTGTTTGAAAGTAATGGGATATCTGAAATATGAGTAGTATTTTTGTGGACTTTCCAACAGTCCTTAACAGAACATGTGTGTCTTGAGTTACTTAACAACCTTTTGAAATACCTTATTAAAATGCAGGATTGCAATGCCAGTAATGAGAATATACTTGTAGCTTAATTTGCCTCCTTTCTCTTATGTTTGCAGGTTTCTGTCTGATGGATCGAACAGAACAAAATTAACATGTAAGTGTGTCCTCTTAATCCTTAGTTTGACTTTGAATTCCATTTTTAAAAGCACAGTTGTTTTGGATGGGTGAAAAAAAGGAAAGATTACCTTGCAGATTTCTGCTGTGAAGTCAGTTATTGTCTTTACAATCTGAACCTGCACTTACTTCACTTCTGGACATCTTAGTTTTACTGGAAAAAAATGAAAAGTGTACATAAATGAATATGGGCAGAGAGAAAGCAGAAAACCCGATTTCTTGAACAAGAACAGCCATTTGATTGTTGCACTGGCTGTTTTCTTGCTGCCTTATGTGTACTTTCTGATGTGTAATTTAGTAGTTTCTGCAAGCTTTTCACTCATCTGAGGAACAATTGTTTACTTTTTATCCAAGAAAACTTATGAACCTGGAGAAATATTCATTCAACTGGATATTTTATTTTCTAGTGCTGAGCGTTCCGTAACGTGGCTCTGCACCAGTGTGGTGTCTTAAAAACTTGGTGTTACTTTGGGCACTGTGTTCTGCGCTTTGAAATGTTCACAAGGATTCTTACTGTTTCTGTGTACTTAAGAGACCTTATGGATAATAGAGAACACTTTTTTTCTCTTCCCTGCTTTTTATTCCCCCAAATGCTAGCTTTTTCCACAGTGATAAAATTACAAGGTTGTGGTGTCAGAAATTTAGAAGTTGCTTATCCGGAGCGCATTTATTGGAACATTAGCTGGGTAGAGGAGGGTGTTAGGGGAAAACGTCTCTGTGCTCTGAAAGTCTATGTCATACATTTAAAACTGACTTGAGACTTTGTTCCAAAGTGTTAATTGATAATAGGGGGCTTTCTGTCAGGTGGGAAGTTTGTTTCCCTGATGTATCACAGAATCACAGAATGGCAGGGGTTGGAAGGGACCTCTGTGGGTCTAGTCCAACCCTCCTGCTGAAGCAGGGTCACCTACAGCAGGCTGCACAGGACCGCGTCCAGGCGGGGCTTGAATATCTCCAGAGAAG